GTCACGGGGCTCAATAAAAAAATTAAAAATAAACTCACAGGGCTCATTGAACCTAGCATTAGCATTGTCTGCTATCCATGGCCGTCAAGCCTACATATTTACAGCTGTCGGGGTGTCCTCACAGATAAAATCCTGTGAGAAAGCCTGACTAGAGTTAACGAGCCTGCTCAGACACTAACGAGCTCGGACCGTATAAAGCACGTGGCTTACATGCTGCAGAGCGGAGTGTAGGAGGAGCAGAGCAGATGCAGGAGCAGCCTGGACATTTAAGTTATATGTTTGTGTGTTAATACAGAAAAGAGTAAGTTTGTTCATGTTTACTTGATCTAGTTTCATATATGTACTTACTAAAGTTATTATCTTCATTCTATTCCAGTTAAATTGCATCAAGTTTTTCTTTGATACATTTTCAAGATTGGTTGTTATTGAAAAAGGGACACCATATATTGTATGTGCTATGATGCACATTTGTGTTACCTACATATATATATATTTTCCTTCTTTCTTTTAGAACCACACACACATACATACACACGAAGATACGTAGATTGATCCTCATAACTACACGGAACCACGAATGAGACACGAGACACAAGATATGCCAATCTCCTTTGTTCAAAGTGGCCTCTGTAAATCTTTGTGTCGGTCATGGAATAAAACCCTTGAGCTGTGAATCCTCTCTGCTGTCCTGATTCTCTGACTGGAATCATTTTCCATATCTGCCCGACCCACACTAAAGAACTTTCCAAAGGTTCAACCTTTATTTCAAATCCAATTACATTTTATCATTGCCAGACAAAATAAATGTTCTCTGGAGTGGAAACTAATAGAGAAACACTTATAGAGCAGCTGTGGAATTTATTGGTGTCAAAGAGGAAGGAAAAATATCAGCATGAATGTTAGTCAGAGAGGGAATAATGCAGAAGTTACTGGAGAAAAAAACTTAAAGAGACATATTTAGACATCATATTTACGGCAGTCAGGCTTGTTCAGAGCTCATTTCACATCATGGCAGAGCTCAGTTTCAATGTGGATCATGGTTATCTGGAGGGTCTAGTACGAGGAATGAAGGCCGGGATTCTGACTTCCACGGACTATCACAATCTGGCTCAGTGTGACACTCTTGAGGGTAAAAAAATCAATCTTGCATGTTTTTGTCATTTTGGGATACAATTTACAGCCTTTAAAAAATGTGTGTGGGTGCCTTAAAAGTAGCTGCAGTCGAGTGCTGACAGGGATCACCTTATCTACACAAGTTTCTTCATCTGGATCCAATTTAGAGAGGAGCACGAGACGTTTCAAGGAATTTCGACATTTCAACACCTAGCTGTTTTATAAGTCTTTTAAATAAATCCATTGTTTTATATACAATCTGCACATCCGTGGTTTGTGGCTGTGATATATTTATCAAGTGGTTAAAATCAAAAATCGGTTTGATTTATAATCTGTATTATGATGTTTGTCTTTCTTTCTTTCTTTCTGTCTTCTGCAGTATCTAAAGTATAAGGATGTGGCTGAGAAAAAAACTTTGTGATGCACATTAAACCTGAGTTGTATAAATATGTCTCAAGGATTTTTTTCTTTCTCAGACATGAAGCTGCACCTGCAGAGTACAGACTATGGTAAGCTGCTGTCCTCGTCCGAAGAGGACCTGACTGTGTCTTTTGTGGACAGCAAGCTGCGGGAGAACCTCGTGACTGAATTCAGCTGCCTTCGCTCCAACGCCCTACCTCCTCTATCCACCTTCCTCGACTATATCACGTAGGACATGACTCAGAGTTTTGCTCTTCCTATTGTCTATTTTTTGGTAGGAAATAAGGCCACACAAAAAAAACAACTCATTTTGACTATTCAACTGTATGTGCTCCCTGTTCCGAGGTTTCTAAAGATAAAGACACATCTGTTGAGAAATATGTCCTTCATAATTTAATTTAAATATCAAATGTTATGCAGACAAAGGACTATAATTGGAAATACATTATCTTGGTTCTATGTGTTTCCATAGATATAACTACATGATCGACAATGTAGTCCTGCTGATCACGGGGGCCCTCAAACAGAGAGATGTGGAAGAACTCCTTCCAAGGTGTCACCCACTGGGAGCTTTTGACCAAATGGCAGCAGTCGGCATTGCCCGAACCCCGACTGAGCTCTACTCCGCCATCCTTGTGGACACACCACTGGGTAAATTAATCAATTATTCAGGTCAGAGATGATTAACTCAAAATCAACACACAACAGTTAAGAACAATACAATGTTACGAACAGTATATCACATAAAAACAACATGTTACAAAACTCCATTACATTCGCATTGAAGGTTTAAATCAGTGGTCACATGATTGGTGTACTTTAAGCCATGATTTAACGTTAGTTTTAAAACATTGACGCTTGTGCAGTCTCTAAAAAGGATTTGGGTTCCACTTCTCTGTGGCTCTCACTGAAAATATTGATCGTCCGAATCAGTTTTCCTAAATTTTACATTTTCTTAAAATAACAACAAATGAAGGTAGTTAATATCAGTACTATTTCAATTTGGCATACATTTATGAAGAAAAGAAACTCCATGAGAGTCAAATCACAGCATGTTGACTTGTTATTGGCTGTAGTTTCCATAGTCCACCGTTTCTGAAAATAAATACGTCAAATCTCTGACTGCAGAAAGTATTCCACTAGTTTTGTGTACAAAAAGAGGGGGGCATTTATGCACTTCTCTCAGGGACATGGTAAACTCAACTCCATTTTAAGGAACCATTGGTGACTACTTTGACAGCTAGCTAGTGATACTGTATCTAAGTTAACTAGCTTAACACTAAACATGCTAGCAAGCCAAGTTAGCACTCAGGCCTACTCTGCATTCTTTATTATTTCTACTACATTATTGCATTTTGTTCTTAGGGGAAAAAACAACTTCAGTAATTGGTAACAGAAGATGTTAAAGCGCTCAACAAGCTATTCAATTTGCTAAAAGGCCTGTTAGTAATACAGCTAAGGATAGCTATGCTAGCTTGTTTAATTTGTTTATGTCAATATTACACAGAATAACGATCAAACTTTGTGTTTTTGTGTCATAGCTCCGTTTTTCCAGGATGCTGTGTCTGAGATCAACCTGGATGAAATGGAAGTTGAGATCCTCAGAAGCAAACTGTACAAGGTGACTGCAGGGTGATAATGTGTTCTGATGCCTGTCAGAGATAAAACCGTACAAGTCAAAATCAATTCTTAACTCATGTTTAACAAAAGTGTGCTGAACGTTTAAGTTACTGTTTCAGGTGAACAAAAACTTCATATATATTTTTTAAACTTTTGTTTCAAGGCATATTTGGAGTCTTTTCACACTTTTTGCAAGAACATCGGAGGAGCCACTAAAGACACAATGTGTCCCATTTTGGAGGTACTGTGATGATTTTAAATACACTGGGTTAGATTTGCTTGTCTTTTGGGTTGTAAGACTTGATGAAAATAATTTGTGTGTGTTTATACCGCAGTTTGAGGCGGACAGGCGAGCCTTCATCATCACAGTAAACTCCTTTGGAACCGATCTGAGCAGTGCGGACAGAAGTGCGTTGTATCCATCCTGTGGCAAGCTTTACCCTGAGGGGCTTCAGCTTCTGGCCAAGGCAGAGGACCACGAGCAGGTCAAGGCTGTGGCTGACTGCTACCCAGTGAGTCATATTGATCCCTAAGGACTCCTCAATGAGTGCTGCTGCATTATCAATGCAGTAAACCTCAATCAGACATATGGTTAATTTTAACCTTAACATTCCTTCAGGATCATAAATTTATTTTTGAAGACCGAGAGCCAGGATCAGATTTTAAGACCCTGGAGGATCGTTTCTTTGAGCAGGAGGTAATATAAGATCCCATATTATGCTTTTTCTGGTTTTATATGCTCTTTAGTGTGTTTTCCAAGTGTCCTGTGCATGTTTAGGCACATCTATTTGCAAAAATTCTCCTACGTCCTCCTGTTAGCTGTAGCATTAGCCGTATGTAACGCTCGGTTCTAGCCCCCCTCGCTAAAAATTTGCCAGTGTGACGTCATTGTCAGTGTGAGATCACTGATCTAAGCCCATTGGCTCGTTGTGGCAAGCCCAGCAGCTCATGTTGCATGCCCGTTAACTTTTGTAGCACGCCCACGATATGGCGTAGCCTGCGGTAGCACAGTAGTGCTAAGGTGCTAATGTTTATGCTCCCCTCGGACGGAGCCAGTGGCTGCATTCCCAATATGGTAAAGGTGGGACATTTCTGAGAACCGTGCTGAGCAACAGACCAATAACGACAGAACGGATCGGCAGACCAATCAGAGCAGACTTGGCCCACGTGGGGTCTAACAGTGTGGGCTCAACAGAGCGTAGCTGACGGACTCAGAGCGTAGAGGGAGCAAGGAGGAGCAGTACATGAAAACAGACACTTTTTTCGGACTTTAGCTATTGTGAATGTACAAAAGTAGGTACATAGATTAAATATACGAACCCCAAAAAGGGCAGAATATGGGCTCTTTAAAATGTTTCAGTAAAAGTGTCCCATGAACTTTTAATATCTCAAGATGACTTTTGAATTTTTTTAAATAGTAAAAAATAGCTTAACCACAAAACATATTTTACACTCTTGCTTTCACTGTTTGAGAATCAACATTTTTAAATAAAAGTATGCAGTCCGATTCAATGTTATGCAAATTAATTCTGTGATATTTGAAGTCTGTGATCTTTTTGGCTCTAACATATCTGCAGGGATGAAACAGAAAAATTATATATTTTATGTACAGTTTATGTCCGTGTATTTAAGTCTCTTCCTCTATCATCATTTATCTTTTCTCAGGTGAAGCTGAACACGCTTGCTTTCATGCAGCAGTTCCACTTTGGAGTATTTTACTCCTACATCAAACTGAAGGAGCAGGAGAGCCGCAACATCGTCTGGATCTCTGAGTGTGTCACACAGAGGCAGAAGTCCAAGATACACAACTACATCCCCATCTTCCAGGGAACAAAGTAACTGAGCAATAAATATTTGACAAACTGTTTAATAATAAATCAATACAAGCACTGAATGTAAACAAACATGGTTCGTTTTATGATCAAAGTTAATTTGTGAGAATTAGTCACTGTTTTTTTTACAAAGGGCAATCACAAAAATATTCAGTGTTTGTACTACAGACCACAGAAAAACAAAACGAGGCCACATGGTTACTTATGAACTGCTCTCTGTAGTTATTTGTTCACATTCTCATTATTGGCACAGTATCAATATTATAGGTGTAATTATGTGTAACAATACAAAATTGAATACAAAATAAAGAATAATATGTAATGCATAGCACAAACAGTGGTATAAAAGTTAAAATTTTGATCTAGCAGCTAAAAGAGGTCATAGATTTCTGTCTTTGCTTCACAGCAGCTTATCCCTTCTTCATACTTTCACTGAAAGAGAAGAAGGTACAATCTGATTATTGCACTGATACATTCAAAACATCTGCCAGTATATAACCAGAGAACAAAGTTAGTGAAACTTACAGCACTGCACAGGCACCTCCAGAGGTATGTAGTTCTGCTGACAGAGGTGAACAAAAGCAGATGCTAGTCTGCAGGGAGCTCTGGAGGAGCTCATCTCACAAACAGACAAGAACTGAGTGGGACTGACCTGATGACACAAACACAGACACACACTATTGTTAACACAAACACTATCATACTTACAGCTTTGGATGCTAGAGAGAGAACACATCTATTTTGTCAAGCTGGTATCAAGTTCTCAGTTTAATTTCCTCTGTGTGATGTCCTCGATTTCATGCCCACGTCACACAGCATCATTTTGCTTTCCACCGAGCTTATTAGGATTTCTCAACGTTTTATGTTAGCTGAAAAATATGCACTTTTATTTTGAAGGATTTCTTTTTTGGCAGAACTAAAAAGTTACATGACCATATTTCTTCATATATCAGTTTTAACAATCTGGTCCAAATGTACGTCTTCCTAAGACCATGTTTTACCACATGTGATTTTCTTGTCCAAATATGATTAACCTCACAAGATAATGATGACATCTGGAGTTAATGATTGTGATATCCAAGCTCATACTGGGTAAGAAGGTCAAAAGTGTTTTTTCTGTACTCACCACCCTGAAACAGGAGCTCAGAGGGGAGTCAGGAGAAGAGAACAGGAAGTCACAGCTCACATGGCTGATGGCTGCTTCTGGAGAGTGCTCATTTACACCTGATGGTTTAATACAGTCTGGTTTCATCTGCAGACACAAAAAGATGATCAAACTGCAGCTGGGAGCTGGATGCTTTAATATTTATAAAACGTATTCAAATGGCAGCAGTTTACAGGTAGGAAAAAATGTGTTAATGCAATAATTTTCAATTCATCAGCAACTAAAAAACAGCCAGGACATATTTCAAGAAGAGTTTTTTCTAAAACACAACTGGGACTGACTCTAGGTCACACTGGCTAACTTTAGCATTCAATGAATGAAACTGTTAGTTGGCAAATATAACTATTAGCTAAGACCACTGGTAGCTTCCAAATATCACGGTAAGCTAGTAATTTATCAAATAAAAATATGCTTAATAAGCTTTGTCTAAAATTGGCTAATGAGTTATCAAAAAGGTCATATTAATTATATGGACATATTGCAGTGATTCACCAGATTTTAACTATTAATTGTCTTTATAGCTTTTTATCAATCTGGAATTGGTGAAATTATAACGAGTTGTTGGATTTCCTGTATGTACATGATATGCAAATACAAATGATACAGTTGTATAAAACTAAACCAGCATTGTGAAGCATCACAAAGATTTTATTGCTGATATCACACAGTCCTTTCACATCCTGATACACACCTGCCACAGTAAGAATCGATTCAATATCTCAGAGGTCTACGGTTGATTACAGTTGATATCATGCGCCCATCTAATACTCTCAGATTTCTATAAATGAACAACTAAATTATGATTCAACAATTTTATTATTGAACTCTATATAAAAGGGATTACAGCTTGTAATTAGCTAGTTAGCTTAATCTGGTTCTCTTCTGAGACTGATGTCATTTTTTACACTCTCCCTGATTCACATAAACTATTAAAACTAAACTCTTCCAGACATTTGAATGAAAAACAACCTAATCTAAATATGAAAGACACAATATCAATATATTTATAAGCATAATTAATATCTGGATACAGATTGGTGTTTTCTGTTTGTATTGGGGATATTGAATCATTGATGATGAACTGATATATCAGTATTTTAGGACCTTAGACACAGTAATACAGGAATAACTTGTCCCACCTGCCAACTGTGGAAAAACCTGCCCATGTTCTCAACTTGAGATCCATCAGGCAAAGGGAAATCATTTCCTGCTTCATTGTCATTGGTCCCCAACAGACCAGTGGACGAGCCTGTGCAAACAACAACAGAGTTTTGTGCTGGACTGAGTTTCTTAAGAATTACAAATGAGCTCTAAAAATATCTGTCCAACTTTGAATGATTTTTTGCTGATTTATTTGTTTCCTTACCGTGCAGCCATCCATCAAGAGTGAAGCTGCACACCTGAAACAGCAGGTCACATGACACTGACGCTCCATGCTGATTGGAAACCTGAACGGCGTTCGACCCTCTCCTGACAGTCACTCCATTGTCACTGCGAAAAGTGTGCGTTACAGCGCTGTTGCAGTTGGCCTTCACCTAAGACACAAAAAAATGATATCTTTTACTGACATGCTTATAAAAAGTAATGTTGTTTCTGAACAGACTGCTTGAAGTCACACCAGTTTAATTCTTGTTTTTGGATTGGCTAATGTTACTCCAATCCACACAAACCTGTCCATTTCGCTGAATGTTGATGGTGTTGTTATCCATTCCAATTAGTAGGAAGGTGTTTGAGTGAGAACCAAGCATTAGCGTGAATGAGGACTCAGCGCTGACATCCTGAGCGAGGAGCAGAGGACAGGAGCGCGGGAGTTCGTACAGGTGACCATCGAATGTCACCACAAACTGATCAGCCACCAACAGAGCTTGATCTGAAAGACAGATCCACAATGACAATGTGGCTTTCTTCATGACTGTTACATCCTTCTTAAAGCTGAAAAACTTCAGCCTAGCCTTACATATGAATGGGCTGTCCATGATCTTCCTTTTCAGCCGATAGAGTTCGGCTACTGGTCGGATGGATGCGAGGGTCTGCAGGGGCCCCAGGAGCCACTCTTCCAGGAGGATCTCCACCAGACCAGTCTGGGCTGCCCTGGGCCAGCGCAGCGATGGCAATGGCACTGATATGATCATTGAACGCTCGCTGGAGACAGAGATCAATCAGTTAAAAATATCTTAATGGAATCATTTCCAAGCATCTGTTTTGGTCTGTTTGACAGAGCATGTCAATGACAATATTTCAAAGTAAGTTAGGATCTGATTCAATTAGAAATAAAGTTATTTTAAGACAGTTGAAAGAAAATAATAACCACCACTGCCAAAAACCGTCCTAACTACATTTGACCTTGTTTTTGGGTGTGGTGGGCACACTAAGATTGTATTGACAAAATGCCCATTCTTTGATCTCTTTAAGCATTTTATGAAAGGAAAATCTTAGTGAGCTTTTCTTCATGTACTCCTCAGACAAGTCCAGTACCTCGGGGAGAATTTGTAGACAGATGCAAGACGTTTCCTGACTCCAGACAGAGCCATCGCCAACCTGGTCTCCACCCAGTGGTAGGTTTGCTGTCCTCCCTAACTCAAACAGAGCAAGAACCATTCGTAATTCATTAATGAGTGTGTTTATATGCACATTCATATCATCATTTGTGTCTTATGCTTGCATTCTAATGTGTTTATGTAACCACACAATCATGCACAGACTGCAAATATCTCCAGAAAGCTTTATGTGAGGAAACATCACCATATCCAGGGCGGCGCTGAGCGTGGTGACACAGGCCTGAGCGAGTGGTCTAAGCTGAGGGTTTTCCATCAGAGCAGGTAGGAGCTCCACCAGCCCATCAGTCCACAAAGAAACAGCCTCTCTCCACAGCGCCTCCAGCCTCTGCCCCTTCACATCTTGATACACACCTGCCAGAGTGGCTAAAGGCCCTGAGGACGGAGCAGAAGACAACGACAGGCTTTATGTTTTCAGGTTTTTTCAATGCATTAAAACGTCTCCCATGAGGGCAACATGTCACTTTGAAGATACCAGAAACAGAACAGTAAGGAGTGCAGATGTCAGAGTGAGCACACAACAGATATCAGATTGATAGGGATTGTGATTATAGAAATGGATTGTGTAAAAACAGAGAGATAACCAAAGATTAATGAGGGGAAGATGGTTTTCTTGGATCAGTTAATGATGTAAAAAGGAGAATTTGTTTTTATAAGTTTGAAATTAAATTAGTGCCTATGAGGAAAGGCAGAGGCTGACTTTAATGTCTTATCAAAGAACTAGGAGGCACTTTTGTAACTACGTTCACAAATTTCCAAATATGTAATTGCAGCTCACCGAAGCTACCATTTTGCCATTTTAATTTTGCAAAATGTTTAAATCAACCAATACATCTGATTATGACAATATATGTCTTCATTAGCATAATGATATTTCCAAATGTCTGTGCCATTTTCTTGAAACGTAACCAAAAATATGCCAATAATAGAATTTGTAATTTCATTTTGATTCTTTCTTTGTAAAAAAACCTAATTGGAAATCTCTCAAACATGATGTTTTCAACGTATTACTCTACTGTAGTCTTTGTCTCCCCTGATATCTCCACCCATTGACTCCACCCCCAGCCTAGAACAAAACTTCTGCGCAGGTCCGCCATTTTTTGTCTTGCTACAATAGAGTGATGTCTACCAGGAAAACTCAGGGGGAGGGCTCATGACATTGAGAGAGCTGGTTTATACAGGGTCACAAACCTCCTCTGGTGGTTGATTCATGTTATATTTTGACCAAAGCACAGCACAGATGTTTCATTTAGACCATAGGAGACTGTTTTAAAAGGTTGAAAAGGGGGATAATATGTCCTCTTTAAAAAAATTTACCCAACAGAAATGCATGTGTCTATTGCATAAGAAGTCATGGTTTGAATTCACATCTGAATATTGTTCACAGCACACTTTTCTATTTTCAGTTTAAGATGCTCGTAGAACTCCCCAAAGAGACTGGGGGTTAAAAATGGCAACTGAACATTGCAATTAAATTTATGATCAAAAAGCAAAAATTAAAAAGTAATGCTGGAATTAAACTTTAACTCTCAAGGTTAAGCTTAACATAGTCAGCTATAGGCTTTGGGCATTTTTTAAAGAAATTAAATTGAGATGTTTTGAGAGTGCTATCTCGCAGTGACAAAAAATGCACAACTCCCTTAAAGATGTTTGTCTGTGGGGCACTGGTGGCAGTGGTTGGTGCGCATGCCCCATGTATGGAGGCTGTCGTCTCAGGCGGGCGGCCCGGGTTCACAGCCCACCTGTGGCCTCTTTCCCGCATGTCATTCCCCACACTATCTCTCCCTGATTTCCAACTCTATCCACTGTCCTATCTCTCCATTAAAGGCATAAAAAGCCCAAAAATAAATCTTAAAAAAAAAAAACAGACAAAGATGTTTGTCTGTTTTGCTATTCACAGCTGTGAGCTGAGGCTGAGAAATCGAGGCTGAGAAATCGAGGCAGGCTGTCGGTGACAATGCGCCACAGGAGGCTTCTCTGCCACAAAAAAATGTCTTGTCTGTGATCCAGCAGAGCCTTTGCTTGCTGGGATAGAAGAAGGGGAACCAGGGTCAGGTCCTGGAGCAGCTCACTGTCTCTGGACTGAAGATTAGGAGAAGTCATCATGTTAGAAAAGGAACATTTTCATTGTTGGCGCAGACAGTGTCCTGAGGTAGTTTGCGTGTTGTGGTTACCTGCTGTCTGAACTCAAGAAGGAGATGTTGCATCATCTTGATTCTTTCTAAAAGCTTCTTCCGTATCTGAGAGCTCAGATATTGAATCCTTGCCTGTTTTGACAACAACAAATATTACTTAAGGTGTCATTGCAATGTTATATAAATGTGAGTTCTTGTTTGGGGATACCTCTACAGCGGTAAGACTTTCCAAACAGCCATTTGCTCTTAGCATCAGCTTCTGATTGGCTGATCCTACAGACACACGGCCAAGAGTTTGAGGTTTACTGCTGCCATCTTTTTCCTTCACATCCAGCATCAAACTGTGATTCTTTCCAACACATGCTGTGACAGTGACATCTTCGCTCAGTCCTGGACCTGGACAAGAACGGATCAAACTCTTAATAATATTATCTTTTTGAAAAGTTTGCATGAGCTTCAGAGATTTTTTTTTTTTTTTACCGTTCATGTATCCTGCTGTGGTCCTCAGACATCGCCCCTCTACACTCCCGTTCAGCCAGATCTTCTCCCTGCGGTCAAGTCTGGCCTGCAACTGAAGTCCAGACCCCCCAGGCCAGGTAAGGGCACTGCCCCCAACCTCCACACTCCAATTACCAATTCTGGACTGTGAAATTCACACACACACACACACACACACACATACACACACACACACGTTTGTACTTGTATATTCAGGGGAAAAAAAACATGTTTGTGGTTTTAAGGGGGTTATTTGCTGGTTTATCTCGTGGTTGGGCACTGTGACTTCTTAGAGACTTTTCATCACCATGAGGATGCTCGGCAATCCACACACACACACACACACCTGAAACCTCTCAAACAACAATTCTCAGTTGACCTTTTTTACTGCCAATCTTGAACATGGCCAGGCTATCTTCTTCCCTCTATTTCTAATCTTTATGCTAAGCTAACTCTCTGCGGCTTCATATTTTACAGACAAACAAGCCTCTCACCCCCCCCCCCCCCCTAAAATCAGCTAATAGGTATATTACCCAAAATGTGAAACTTTTCTTTAAAACTATCACAACTACATGAAATCCCATATCCTTGTCTTTACCTCATTCAAACTTCAACCTTTAAAGACGCTAAATTCAAAAAATGTCCTCACTCTTCATGTTGAGACTTAACATGCACACACAGAGCAGCAGACACTGTACAAAGAGTGCTTTTTAATCCGATTCTAACAATGACGTATAACAATACAGTCCTCCAATGCAATAAAGCTAACACAGCCAATAACTTAAATGTGACATGATGTGCCCTTTAAACTTAAGTCACAATTCTTAACAGAAACACACAACTGTAAGTCAATCAGTAGAGGGGTTTAAAACTTGTCTACCTCAGAGATAAGAGACATGTTGGAGCCCTGAGGTGTGGACGAGTTTGTCAGGGCGAAGGTGACGCTGCACTGGCGGGGCCGTCCTGTCACCGACAGATGAGACTGAGTGTAAAAAAGCTCCTCTCCTGAGTTCACGCTGTGCGATCCTGACCATGACAGAGTCTGAGACGAAGAGAGAGAAGAAGAAAAAACAGCCCAAGCTAATGAATAAGCACAGAGACATGCAGTTGTTGTGAAGGTAACACAGAAACAACTGTATGGTGTGAAACTGATTCTTACAAATCAATTCTAAGTAATAAGACACTTTCCTGCTGCAGATATTTATCACAGGGCCAACAGGAAAGAAGTGTAACGCAGAGCAACCAAAAATGGACAGATCATAACTTATTTAAGTCAATGAATCCGTTTTGGGGTGTTTTCACACATGCATGTCCCTGAACACACGATAATAAGGCAAAGTCATTTTAGTGTCGGACTCTGTTGCTTCATCAGTCATCTTGGATTTCTGCAGCCTCTTTTTTTTTTTCGTCACGTCTTATGCCCGAGACTGCCCCCACATTCCTGTCTGATAGGGAAAACTAGACGCTGTGAGGGGGCATGTGTGAATAAGACAGCCAGGGGCAGCATATGTGTAAACATCTCCCTGAGAGAGAAAGTATTACAGATGTGTGGACTCACTGGCTGAGGGGGACAGAGGCCCAGCAGCACTGTGTGCTCCAAACGATCTTTCAGGTTGGTCTGGATCCTGACCAGGAGTGTATGTGAAGAACAGGGTGCAGGAGACACATTTTCCAGACCCAGGTTAATCTGAAGGCTGTGCGTACCCTGAGGGCCCCCCTAGAAACAACACAGACATATTACAATAATGAATAAAAACAACACCAGCCATCTGCAAACAAGTGAGGAGAGAGTGAGTCATTACCTGGTACTTCATTCCCTGCTTGATGCTCCTGTTGTCCCATCTTAACTCTGCATTTTGTAAATGTGATTTCCCTTCCTGAGCCACCGACACACAGCCTTTAACCAAGGACATCACCATCTACACACACAAACAGACACACATATGATGTAACTGGATTCTCTATTCTACATAGTTAGTCATGTGAACAGTTTGAACATATTCCACCAACCTGTTGTGTTGAGAACTGAGCACATGCCTGCCCCCTGCTGGAGTTGTTCTGCCACTGTTTGTTCAGGTTGAGGGACATGTTGATGGGGGCCGTGCTGTCCCAGGACAGGTGGGTCTGCATGCACAATGATTGTTTTTTATAAACATACAATACAATTCTGCACAAAATTCTCTTGCTGAATATACAAAAATGTTAGAAATATTATATGTCAATCAATGAAGTCATTTTTTTTTTTCTCGCTTTCCTTGGAAACTACTTTGCATATCCAAGTATGTAGAATTATCATAGATTTTAAATAAGAAGTGTAAGTAGCCATGGTAAGAGGGATTGTAGTGCATTCTTTTTAACAACCAGCAGGGGGCAACTTCATTGTTGCAATGAGAAAAACAATTATGAGAGGAAATGATCGTACTTCTCAGGTGATTTATACCTCAGTAAACATTTACCTAATGAGTTTATTTGCTCCATCGCAAGTTTCAAGTTTTCCTTTCGGCATGATGTTACTTTTTCAAACTGAAGTCCTAATTAAAGTGAAGAAGACAATAAAGCTGTGGGCGCTTTATGGTGATTCCACCTGCGAATGTATGGCCTCAATAAAACAGGAGAGTTCATTAAGTGAAACATATTTTCTTGATCTATGGTGTTATATAATTTGTATTTTAGTTTAAAGCTACTGTTGTAGTTTGAAAGATTGAAGCATAACAGAAACACACAATCTGGACAGCAACAGGCACAAACCAATAGTTATCTAATCTGTGAATTTAGCCAAGTAATAAGATCATGTTCTGATACACAAGACACGTACACACATACCCACACACTCTTTCCTGTTAAGAGACCAGTTGTCTGTCCAAGAAACTTCCAGCAAATGGTCTTTATATAGCACACACACATGTTGATTTCCCATAACAGGATGATTGGGATGTCATAAAAGAACTGCTCCCAGAGAAATAAACAGATCCTCAATTCACAAGCCATAGTCTCTGTCTGATTGTTCAAGAGCATTTACTCTTCTACACTACTTCTTGGATTTTTTGTGCAAATTTGGGATTTTTTTCTTGGCGCCCCCTGTAGACAAAATGTGTTATCTCTTTCCTAATTATATTAAAGTGGTGATTGTTTGTTTTTTTTTGACAAAAAAAGATCACATCTTGGTTTCATTTTGAGGTCTGCGGTCAGCACACTGTTACGCAACAACTATACAGAAATCTCATTCCTGATAGTTTTGTTTGCTTTTGTAGGTCATAGACGCATCAGTATTAAGTTCAGTCTTTTACACATCCAGCTAAAAAATGCCTCACATAAGCTTGAAGTACACACAATGATGTATAGCGTCCATTACAGCAGATATTGGAATAATATAATAAAGGAAATAATACTGTTATAAATGTTTGAGTGAATGAACTTCACAAAGTGTGTCAAATTAATGACATGAATATTTTTCTGTCACTATGCGTTAGGCAATAATGGTTTTTTTTATGTTAAAATCTCTGCATATTGTGACTCATTTTTGATTCAGTTGAAGAGTCAGCCTACTGCGTGGCTGCTGCGTTGTTCTCTCTGTGAATGATGTGTCAGACTGTGAAGGCTCATCCGGCTCAGTGTGGAGGAGAACGGCTGATTCAGCTCCAGTTTGGTCTCATTCATCTCCTCTGAGCGACTCCACAAGCTCACAGCTCTGACCTTCAGATGACAAAACAACAGTGTGAGCACTGTAAAGAAAGCAGAAATCCAAAACATAACTATATAACTCCTAACTATAGAACAAAATTACTTATCTCAGAATGTTGAGTAAAGCACCAGATTCATGCTCAAACCAATGCTGTATTTATTTTAGCTGATTGTTAGACGTGTATGTGACATAGTGCTATGTGTTTTACTGTATGAATTAATTTATTTTATTTTATTATTGTGTCATGCATGCATTAGCATGCCCAGCCCACAAGGGCTTACAAGACACCAATATAAACACAAACAGACCAAAAAACAAAAATAGATGCCAAACAATACTAACAATATAAACCATCCTGGCGTTTCCTCCAGGCTTTAGTGAGAAAAGAGGCCAACTTATAAACACTGAAAGTAAACAAACATTCCATCCTGACATCGTTATTACTTCAAAACACTGGAGCATCAAAAAGAAGTACTCTCAGTTCCTCATAAAAGAGACAATAAATTCACAAATTCTCTGTTCCTCTGGGAAATTTAAATAAATAAATCTGACAACTTCAAGTGCCAAGGGAAGGATTCCTGTCCTTAATTGAGCAACCAAAGATCTTTGATTTCTTGGCAAGTTTGCTTTAACATATAATTCAGTATCATAATTATGCTTTATTTGGACATATGTTCGTAATTTAAGTTTTAATAGTATTTCATTAAACCATTTTTCATTGAATACAACAAGTAACTTTTTTCTCATCTCATTTACGCTGCATGATAAATTATTTCTATAGATAAACTGTAAATCCGCTTCTTTAAAGACGGCATGAAGCTCTGCAGCCCATAGAGAGTTCTGAACTTTACTCCAGAGAAAAACTTTCTTGTCGATCCTGTCATCAGACATAATAATAAAACAATCCCACAGTCTAATCATGTCGCATTTCCTCCTTATTATACCAGGAATCCAACCCATGTCACCCTGAGCAGCCAAAGAGGGAACTATGAATGCCCAGAAAACAACGAATAGCTCTGTTTTGTGCTGCATCTGAAATTCTTCTTTCTTTAAATCCCCACACCCCAGCAGCACAATTCAAAATGGGAGAAACACATGCATCATACAGTTGAGAGTAAGTAGAATAACCAAGGTCTTTACATATTTTTAATTTGTTAACAACAGCCCCCAAAGCTCTGCTAGCTGAACTGGCAATAAGTTCAATTCCATTTTCATAATTCATATATTCATCAAGTGGAAATCCCAAATATTTATACACAGATACATTTTCTAATGGCATATCCCAAAAAGTAAAGCTTTTTTTCACTTCTTGGGACACCCTTTTTTCTAAAATGAATTATCTGTGTATCTGTGTAAGTGCATTTCCCTATTTGCAGGGTCATATAGATGTAGGTAACTGTTTTTATCTGCACACTCTTTGCATGTTGTTAGCAATATCCTAGGAGTATATTCACACAATGAACTATTATGCTTTGAACTGTTTTTGATTCCTACTCTCTGACCTGCTCCAGTTTTCCATGCCTGGTCCAGCCCAGTAAAACACTGTCCAGTCTGCCCTGTAAGGACCGCTCCAGTGTCACCTCCAAACTGGTCAAACGGGGAGCACAGCTGATCTGAACTAAAGGACAAAAGAGTAGCATCAACTATCTTTCCTCAGCAAAAGTCCAATGTTAAAACTGTTGGATATGATGGAAAGAGGCATTCATGCTCCCTGCAGGGGTTGGTAAGGAGCTGGTCTACAGTGGTTTACCCTTCAGTGTCTCATTCCCCAGCTCCAGAGCAGGAGGGGCAGAGTAGAGACCGGATAGGCTGAACTCCTGGTTTCCCCACACAGCTCCATGTTGGACCTGGTAGCGCCACGCTCTGGCCTCATACACCGTCCTGACAGCAACCAACCTGGGGAGCGGCTTCAACTGGAGAACAGAGGCTATCACTGAACCATTCAAGACGAAGATACATCTCTGAGTATATGTCAATAAAGAGAGGGTGAGTTTTTAGCTAAGAAATACCTGTGGGTACGTGTGTTTGAGCTCTATATTCTGTCTGTATCCGCTCTCTATGGCTGCCAGTTCCCCTAGAGCCCACAGCCTCCTCCTGCCTGATAAAACCTCCACCAAAGCAGCCACATTGGACTCTGACTGGTTCAGCTGCAGAGAGAGAGAAAGAGAAAGAGAGAGAGGTCAGATGGCAGCATGGGTCTGAAATCATATCTTACTAAAAAAGTATTCTTTTAATGCTAGTTCAAATTGTAACAGAATGACGTAACTCTAGAACACATCTGAAAAATAGATGTTACATATTTACATATATATGAAAACCCTGGGAATGGAGGGAGGAGCCTTAGTTACCTCTATAATATCAACGATAAATGAAAGCCACTGTAAAAATGATGCATATACTCTACAGATGTAATAATAACTGAGTTACAAAATACAACAACCGAGGGATCTACAAGGTGTGCAAAAGAAACCATGTATCTTTTCATCAACATACTTTGTCAGCATTTATTCATCAAAATTGACGTCATGCCCGCAGAAAACATTTTCTCATTACAATCTTTGTCAGGCCCGGGGTCAAATGCCTTTGAAAAACGGTGAAGAACCCACCTGAGAGCGGACATTGAGCTGAGACGGCAGGTAAACCAACATCATGGGAAGAGTCTGGACCATCTTCATCATCAGCTCCTTGCTGGACAAAAGAACGTCTGTCACTTACAGGATGTGTGTGTGCATGCGTGCGTGTGTGTGCGTGCGTGCGTGTGTGTTTGTGTGATTTGAGGAGATCAGACTTGGTTCCTGTATGCTGTATGCATTTGTTTTTACAGTACCTATGAGAAACATGGTGTCCCTGGATGATGAGTGCAAGGGAGGAGCTGCGTTCAGGGTTGACAGCGATGGAGCACCTCAGCTGGGACTCAGTCAGTCTGCCCCAGGCCTCCACCTGCATCCACAGACACAGAGACAGTTAGCACAGGGGACAAAAAAAATGCAGAAATGTTTGGCATGTTTCATTCTCACCTGTAAGGTGGGTCTAGTCTCTCCCTGCATGGTGTGTCTCAGTGTGACTCTGGCCTCCTTGGACCCTACATGAGCCCCCCAGCCTCCTACATCTCCTACAGCTAGGACTCTCCAGTTGTTCCTGTGAATGTCAAGTGAGGCGCTCCGCAGAGGACCTGAAGAGAGGACCATAGCACACTATGGTTAAAGTCATGATACTTGGTAGAAAATTACATTATTTCAACAGTGTCAGACAAAGACTGTCCTAATAGATCTATGTAAAACCCAGATACAAAATGATTCTATTTTTTTAACTAAATAAATTGCTGAAGAGCTCATAGTGTTACATTATTTTAAACTTTGGAGTTTTTAAACATCAACGGTATAAATCAACTCACGATTGTACTTTACGGTTGTTTCTTTAAAAGTTGATTTATTTCAACATCTTTTTGTATCCAGTTCTCAGTCTCTGTTCACGTACCAAATATTTTGTGTCTATCACGTTTGTCATTTCTTCAGAAGCAGTCTCAGAAAGTTTTTATGTTATGTACACACAATCATCTAGGTCAGCCTTTAATATTCAGTATGTACTTATTCCTCATCTTCAAAATATCTCAGGCAAGTTCTATAAAAAGAGCCCAGCTTTCTGTTTATGAGGTTTGTGAAAGTGTATGAAGGCTCTCGTTTGCTGGTCAACCTTTTTTGTCTTAACTCTTTTATTTATTCAGCGTACGCAGCTGTTTTACTTTCAATGTACGGTTGGTTCCTCCTCCAGGTCCAATTTGTTTTCATCCCACCTGTAAAATGTTTCTCTACATTGTGATTTTCTTGACCTTCTTTTTTTTTTTTGACAGAGACGAACTGAATACTTAAAACAACACCATGTACCCATCAGGTGTTATGAATGGTTCAAAGGAGTGAGAAGCAGAGTGCTTTCTGGAATTTAAAATGGTCGAGTTTGCGGGGAAACCTGCTGGTCAGTCTACTGGTAAGCATTACTGGCAAAACCAATTTTAAAGAACAAAAGAAGGATCATGTCAAATAAAATATAAATGAAGAGTTACATGCACTCTTAAAGCCTGCAAATTAACTCAAAAATTAGATATCACAAAAGGATCCTGTTCCTTCAAAATGTTCTTAAAAAAAAGGGTGCAACAATGTTTTAAAATCCCCAACCTCAGGATATAGTAAAAGAGGTTTCCATATAACGCCCAGCTTTAAATACAATGACCTTTGAACTGTGCAGTCAGAGTAGTTTCCAGCCTGTGTTGTGTTTCTGTGTGATTAGAGGATGGAGGAGAGTAGGAGAGCAGCACAGCCAGACGTCCATCAGCCACACTGACATTCAAACCAGAGACGAGCAGCTTGTGGCCGTCCACAGAGAGCTGAGCCCGAGAGCGAAGCTGAGATGGGACTCCCTGGATAAAACAAAGGCCCTGAGAGAAGAAAATTAAACAAGGTGATGTTTTTTTTATTGCATACCGTTTCAAAATACAAAATAATGTCAAACAAATGATGAAAATACAGTGTTACCTCTATATTAAGTGGAAGTCCTCTGTCCTGTAGCCACGACCAGCTGTGCCACATGTTGCCTCTCATCTCTTTGGTCAATGGGAGACTTTTCATCATCAGTCTCATTCCTGCCTGCCGACCTCCAAGCTGAGAGTGTAAGGTGAAGGCCTTCCCTTCAGCAGAACCAGACTCTACCTGCACACATGGTCACTGTGAGACCTGAGAGAACTTACATACATTATGTCAATATTTTATTGGTTTAATCCATGCAACTCTCTTACCTGGATGCTGTTGTTTGCAGGGACTCCCATTTTCTTCAGATAGTTCACTGTGTGCATAAAATGACTCTTCACACTGATTGTCTCAGACGTTTTAAACACTGTCATCTCTTGGGTTACCTGTAAAACATTCAGAGTGTTGCCTGTATCAGCGGCGGCAGCTGTTTTATAGGACATTAAAACTACATACAATTACTGAGAGCCCTCCTACATCTGGATCCTACTGTAAGAGCAGAGTAGCACACAGATTATTTGAACGACATGGTGACTTTAACACCCTCTTTCTCTTAAGAGAGAGTTCGTTTTATATCTTTACACTGCTGGCTTGTCTTCTTTCCTTGCTGCTGTTTTCTGATTGCCCTGCACCTGCATGATGTGTGTCATGTGTATAACAACCCTCCTTTATGACCGTCACATTAAAACACAAAGATAAAAGGTTTCATAGAGGGCGAATGCTGCATCCTACCTTTTGATTCCCTGCACTGCTGTGTAACAAATAATAATAGGAGCCATTGTCATGACTCCCAGAGTTCATTGTCACTGTCGCACTAACAGGGAGTCCCAGCCTCTTCAGCAGGGGCACAGAGTGGTTCAGATTCAGCAAAGCTTCATTTTTATCCTAAAAAAAAAAGAAAAATAATATTTTTATAATGATTAATCACATCTATCTATATCGAGGCTCACTCTGTGTAAAATGTATTAAAATGTGTATTGTATTCCCACACCTCAGTTTTCTTGAGAGAAGCAGATGCCTGTAACTCTTTGTCATCTATCACCATGGAGACCTGAGATTCAGCACCAGTTGGGGAAACGACCAACAACCCGGAGGATCGCACCCTGTCAGGACTACCCAACTCCTACAAACAGCATCACAAAGCAACATAGTAAAGCAATGATTCATTTGATAGCTGAGACGTAACTATCAGCTGTGTGTTTTCTCCACCTGAATCACTGAGCAGTTGTTGTGATACACCAGCGACCCCTGCAGGCCAGCTTGTGACATCCCACCTCCTCTGACTCCTAAAGAACACTCGTCCATCTGAATGAAGGCTTCACCGTCGTAACGGTTTTCTTTATTCCTGCAGCTGACTCTCACTCGGCCGAGCTGAGGTACATTCCTAAGAGAAGGATGGTTGTGACTGAGTTCGCCCTCCACACTCAGGTCTGGCCAGGCGTTTGCATTCAGCCTCAGGAAACCCCTTTTGCCCTCCATATGGGTGTCCACGAAGACAGTCCAGATCCCTTGAGGGTCCTGCCACACTGAGCCATTCAGATTAGCCTATTAGAGATAGGACCGTGGAGAGAGTCAGAAATCAAGGAGAAAGAGAGAGAGAGGGGAATGACATGTGGTAAAGGAGCCACAGGTAAGATTCGAAATCCTGCCACTCGCTTGGAGGACTACAGCCACCGTATATTGGGCGTGCCCACCAACCACTAGGCTACCGGCACCCCTGAAAGTAAAACTTTTGAACACCAAGGCATTGTAGGATCCATTTTTAAAACACTAAAAAAAAATCAAAAAAGATTTAGTTCTAACCCCTTTTGGAAAAAATGTTATTTGTAGAATGTTGTATTGTTGCTTCACTTGTGGGGTGAGGGAGGTTTAGGTTTAGGTGTTCATGTGGTTCAGGGAATGATTATTAATGATCGATTTAAAAACACATTTTGATTGATTGGTTTCTAAAACAGGGAAACACATGTCCAGTGTTGGTCTGAGGAAAATATGCAATTGAGTGTGTTGGAGAAACAAGCCATAGATATAATCCACACATGAAAGAATCCAAATGAAATCCTGTGTGATACCACAAATGTTTGTCTTTAGAAAATAAGAGTCTGAAAACGCAACAATGTAGCCAAAATGACTTACTATAGACTATACAGCAGCAGCTTCAGTTCAAATGAGAGTACGAGAAATTACGTAAGCTACGATTAGCAGAAGAGCACAAGGATAACGGTTTATTTTTTGTCTCCTATAAATGTTGTGAAGGCAAATGAAATAAACTGTCTCTGTTTTGGAGCAAGGGGTGGATCATTTATGAGTGTGGGTGTTGAGCTTTTTCAGGAAAGGGATTTGTTTGTTTTAATCAGAATGAGGTGTTTTGGTAGTTTTGGTATAAAAGGCAAAGAACATAGAAGTAGTATGAAATAGAAGGCAAGTGAATAGCACAAGATACAGTATATAGTAAAGAATTAAATATAAAGAAATATAATACAACATATGAGCTATAGGATTCATGAAGGAACTGTATCATGTTTGAACATCTGTCATTACATTCAGAATTAATGGTAATACAACATAGAATATTTGATTTATCCACATTTAGTCATTTACTGAAACAACCGTAATAAAGTTCATTAGATTTGTCTTAGCTGGAAAATTACTTATTTAACTTTCATAATGTACAACAGCTCTGTTAAACGAGCCTTTATTGGTCTTTATTGATGTACATGTTTCTAGTGTAGTGTCTTTCTTACACATTTAATAACATCTTTAGAATATAAAAATGTAATTATTAGTCATGACAGAGACAGAGACCCACTGTACCTGCAACATTGGGCATGTTGACTCGAGCGCCCAGAGCCACTGTGTCCTTCCTTCAGCCTCTATGATTCTATCGGCTCTGATGAAACATGTCCCCGCTTTAATGAACAGGGACCCTGCCTGCTCAGGGCTCCCAGGAGCGGAGGCCTCTATAGTGATTATTGGAGGAACACTGTAGCTCGTCAGTGCAAGGAAGGAGTGTGTAAGGGTCCCAGAGAGGTGTGGAGACCTGCAGGACTGACTCAGCTGCAGGGACAGGTCCTGGTTGTCCGCCCTCAGGGAGGAGGTCAAGGAGAGCTGGCAGGGGGCGACTGACAGGTGGCCCTGAAGAGACGAAGACACTGGGAGGACTGAATCCTGTGTGAAGACATAGATTGAGTAGGTCAAGTTCAAGCTAAACTTTATTATCCCGATTTGTTCTAAAGCCAGCAGTGAATCTGAAATATACACAATTAACAATGTAATACACAAATTAAACAAATGATTTTCTTTATCTATTAGTCCTGCACCTAGGCAAAGTATATCTGCAACCAGATGGCAGCAGCTTGTACTCTGTATAAAGGGGGTGAATGCAGTCCTCAAATACTGTATAGCCTGTGCTTTTTTGTAGCTCTGACTTTGTGTAAAAGGGCAAAACTAGAGCCAGCAATTTTACACATCGTCAAGTATTTTAGCTGATTCACCACCTCAATGGGGCTAATAGGTAAAGGCTTCCTCCTAGAATCAATGATCATCTCCTTGTATTTAGATACATTGATTTCTAAAGAGCAGCATTTGCATCACTCAGTGAAATCAGCCGCTACTGCACCATGGTCAGAATCGTGGTCACCATGTAAGGACACAACTACCAAGTCATCTGCAAACTTGATTATGTGTCTACCATTGTAATGACATTGAGGGCCAGTAGAAGATAAAAGAACATCAGATAAAAACGCCATTTACTTACTTTCTGAGATCTAACGGTTAAAAGGTAAATCAGCCAACATATCAAACCAGGGTCAATGATGAAGATGCTGGTAAGTCAATCTGCTGAAATGTGTGGTTGGCTACAATTAGAAGAGGTGGAAAAGTTGATAAAATGCTGCAGGTTTTCTCTCTATGACTCTCTATAAAGCAATCATGTAAATCAGGGCTGATAGGACTCTAGTCTTGCAGCTGTAACTTCCTGTTTTTCTGCTCTGCTTCCATGGTAAATGATCTGTAGCTTTACTCTCCAACAGGCTGGACGACTGTGTTTCAAAGGAAGCTGTGTTAACATGGACACGGATGAAGTGTGTGCAAAAGTAAAGCTCTTCCAACTGTGATGAAAGAAAGGACAATGTGCTGTCACAGTAAGAGGTGAGTAATGTTTTCAACTTAAACATGTCATTTTTTTCAGGTTTCACAAGCAGTTTAAGACAACTGATGTTTTGTTACCTGTAGAGCAGGACAGTAGTTGGTCACATTTGCAGTGTAGGAAGACTCCTCCTCCTCTCTTAGGGATTTCTGGGTTTTCCCCAATTTCCCCCTTAAATAACATTGTCCCAGCTCCAGACCAACCTCCACACCAGGCACATGTGTAGCCGAAACATTCAGGATTAATCCTCCACGCGAGGGTAATCCCAGCATGTGTATCGCCTCTATAGAGTGCTGTACTGTTGCTTTCAGACTGAGGTTTGGGTGACAAGTTAAATGCAGGCTGAGGTTGCCTTTCTGTTCGCCCTCAGCATGGAGAACAGTGCTGAGATTTGTTGAACATCCAGAACGGGTGATGGAGATGTTAACTGAGGACTGCGATGGCAGAAGATTCTGCAGAGAAAAAAATGGAAAAAGAAAGTAAAATATGTGAAAATATTTCCCTTCCACCAATGAATAAGAAATAAACTTAGGGCTACATGTAGCTTTACCTCCACACAAAACCAAAACAAGTCTAATGTTGAAGGACAAAAAAACGTTTCCCCGCTCTACGTTTGTAGATGCCCATTTCCTCAGCATTACAGTGCCATAAATTTAACAGGGTTTGATTAAATTCTAAGTTCGTAGTTCAGAGATATGTCCAGCAGACAATAAAATAAGGAAACAAGGGTTAAAGACGATGTGTTTGAATTGAAGCACTAGTATACAGATGTTCTTAAAGCTTTGTGAGGCCATACTTTTGCCCAGCAGCGCTCAGAGTCACATGCTAACTTCAACATGCTAACATTCGCTCAGAGAAGATGCTAATATGCATGCACAGTTTATATTTGTTGTAGTTAAATTATGATTAAAAATAAATACAAGTCTTTATTGTATTGTTAGATTAATGTAAAGTCATTCTAAGTGATCTCGGTGTCCAAGAAAATCCTTCTGAATCAAAGATTTATTTTTGGCATTTTTATGCCTTTATTTTAGAGAAAAACCGGGGAGAGAAAGCGTGAGGAACGACATGCGAGAAAGGAATCACAGGTCAGATTTGAACCCTTTGAAAATTTATCGAAGTTAATAAAATCCCTCCTGTCCAGGACTTAATACAAAGCAGTTCCATATACCTACAGAACGACTTTGAATCTTAAAAGCCATGCCATCTTTGAAGCTAAACCCATTATGAATCTAAGGGGAATTGCATTATTATTTATTTTTTCAACCATGGTATTGTTCATACTTTTTCATACAGTATTGGTGTTATCAATGCAATTTATGCTTTGGTGGAAAGACAAGAGTCATCTCCAAGAGGAAGATGTTTCTTTTGCTTTCCCTCTGTTGAGAAACAAGTTTTCTTGATACCTTGTTTCCTCTCTAACCTTCAATAAGACACCTTGCTGATGGACAAACAAATTCCAGCAGGTCCTCCTGGTTTCTCCTCCCCTGTGTCGATTTCCAAGGAGACGCATATCCCTTTCCATTTTCAATTTGGCTTGACCAGTCGCAGTCGACACGCTAACAGCTAGCTCCTCTGGTAGAGCAACAGTGAGTCTCAGAGAGTTGGATGGCTCCCAGGCGTCAGTCATGTTGATCTGGGCAGAGCTGGTGTTGAATAAGAATTGTGCACTACCAGAGAGTGATGTATCACTGAACTGACTTCTTCCTTCAAGGTGTACTCTGTTTGGTATGATGGAGAACAAAGAGTTCCAGTTATGCTGAAGAGTCCAGTCGACTTCAGCTTCTCTGTCTGTTAGAGTTACAGAACAGAGGCACTGAAATGAGTCATGCCCTTTTTGTAAACCCAAAGAACATTTGAGTCCATCTTTCCCAGTTTGTCCATGAATTGTTAGATTCGTCTTTTGTAATATACCACGCTCAACTCTCTCAACCTGCACCCACATCAGCTTCCCCAGCCCTGTACATCTAGCAGAAACCAACAGCCTTGAGGTGATAGAGTCCCATGCTACACTTACATCTGCCCAGATATTACACCAACTTTCCAGCCTCATCCGACCCGTCACCTCTGCCTTGTGTACAGAATTCTGGGTCGCAAACTCAAGCAGCCCATGCCAGCCATATAGGCCAGGCCTCTCAAGCCGCAGTCCAACATTCAAGTCCATTTTCCAAGAGCCAAAAACAGTTTCAACTCCAAGGGCCCACCTCTGAGGACCAGGCCGTAGAAGTAGCCTGAGACTAGATTTAGTTGGAACAGCCAGATTCTTCAGCAGCAGCTGGGAAGAATGTGTGAGCTTAGCTTTGAACTCCTTTTGGCCATTGGGACTGTAACAACCTTTAGCTTGAGCACTGAGGACAAAGTGAGTGAGTGACAGACCATAGCAAAGCCTGCTGTGTGGTCTATAGGAGCGAAAGACTCTTACCCCCACAGGGCGACCTGCCACATTTCCATAGCACTGGGCTGAGAGTCGGTCTGCAGTGGCGTCCCCTGTGCAGTTCATCTGTAAAAACAATCCCCACTGTTAGCAAAGTTTGTTTTGAAATAAGAAACTAAAGGGGTGATGGAAGAATTCCTGAGGAATCACTGAACTTTAGACCAGCAACATTAAAAAAGTGTAGCAAACCAACATGCTTATCTGAGTGAATAATAAGAAACAAGGTATTTAACATTGATACAGTTTTCAGTTTTATTTTGAGCTCCATTTGATACTACTGATTATGGCTTTCTTATGGATGTGAAGAAAGAGGGGGTTAACTTCTTTGTAGGAATATCTTGTCATTTAAGCAATATGTATATTCTCTTTGTTGACATTAGCAAATTCCATCCTACACAGTCTGGAGTCGGGGGAACACGGTACCTGGCTCTGTCCAAAGGTAGTAAAATACCATAACCTTTGAAGTTGACAAAGAAGCTGTACTTGCAAAAATGGCTATTTATTCCTTTAACTGTTTTAGGGTCTACATGCAGGGTACAAATACTGTTGTTTCAATATGGAAAAGTACCAACTTAATTGTGGTGTTTAGACCTTGGGTCCTCTTTAAATTGAATTTTCTTTTTAACTCTATTTCAAGTAGAAATATTTTTTTATCAAAGCCTTATTGGTTCCACACAGCTTTACAGATCTGCTTAACAGTGATGTAGGAGTCTAGTTGTAAACTGACCACTAAGTGTTCACAAGACTTCAACATGATGGTACACTAATAGGTAAATGTCATAATTTTAGGTCCAACATACAGGGTACAAGTAATGTTCATGCAATTTGAATAGTTAAGGGTGGTGACCCTCAGGGATCAATGCTTGGGCCAATTTAATTCTAAAACAGCTGAAGTCCACATTTTGTATATGCCTACAATGTATAAAAATAAATGTACCTGTAAAGAGTTGGGCATGAATCCTTGGAGCAGATTCATCTGTTGCCACAGAGACATTGCCAAGATAGCAGTCCTGTTTTTTGATCCAACATTAAAAAGGACCTCAGCAATTCTCTCATCTTCCATGTGAAGGATCAAGCCTGTTTCCAGTCCATCTGTTTCCAACTTCCCATTAGACAAAAAAAACATAAACATATATGAAATACAAATATCGCAGTGCACAATACTAAATAACATCACATTCATGCATATAACTTTTTTTTTAACTTGCAAGAGGTTGAAAAAAGACGCCAGATCTAGACCTGATAATGTGCCTTGGCTTCCATGGAGCTTGATAAGCCTCTTTTCATTAGAGCTTTAAATTGATGCTGCACTTTGGAGTAGTACTCCCATCTTGGGACAGCCTGTTCTGTCTTTCTTCCATTAAATTCAGCTTTTAGATGTTCAGGTCCAGCCTGCAGCTCTGCCAGTAGTGACAGTTGACCACTAGCTTTGACCCACCTTCCCTGGGCACTACTGATGGCAGGTACACCTGTATCCAGAAGACAACAAGATTGAGGGACTTTGAGTGATTACAATGCATATCATGTAAAATTCATTAAAAAATAACATAAAAAATAACGTAAAGATTACTGTACCTGAGGCATTGAGCAGGTTGAAGGAGTGAAACAGCTTTGCGTATACCGCACCTCTCCCTTGATCTCCCAGTTGGCGGCTTAAATTCAAACACAAATGCTCCGCCCCAAACCAAGCACACAGCGAACCATTAGACATGTGAACTTTATATCCTGTCGTTCCCTCTTTCTCTTCGCTGTTCAAAGAATCTTCGGTATCCTCCTGATGTTTTACCTCCACGCTGTACAAAGTATCCATCACTCGGACTCTCAGCTGTCCTACAACAATAATAAGTCAAATTATGAAGTATAGTGTAAATTACTTTACTGTTTATTTTTGATTGAACCCCTACCTTCAATAAGGGTGTCAGACTGTCCCAGCGCCCCATCCAACCCCAGGACAGGGGGAAAAATAACAAGGTTGGCCATGGTGTGCCTCAGGTCCCCAGACACAGCCAGCTGAAGACCCCGGGTATTTTTTAGAGACCCTTTGATCTGAGCCAACAGCGCGTCATGCCCCTGTGTAAAGGAGCCATGTAGAGACACACTGGAAGGGACAAGAGTTTATTGCCATTGTCAGATGTAACATCGACTGACGTGTAACAATAGGATTGTACTGCCTACTTGTTTTGTCAGGGGACTATTTTGAGTGTTCACAGTCTATGAGAAATGCTAACTAGAGTGCATGATAATGGCAGCGTGTCGAAAATGAATAAAGAGACCTGTAAGCAAGTTGAAAAGCTTTTACTGAAAGAAACCTGATGGGAGGACACACCTGTCTGAGGACATGTTGGCGGCCATGTTTACTTGCAGGTCTGTGGTAGTAGGCAGCAGACTCTGGGATATGTTGAGCCTTAGTCCCACAGCTCTGTCTCCACGATGGAGGGAGTGGGACATCCTGGCATCCAGCTTCACCCTCTCCTTCCCATCAGCTCTTACGTTAACGGAGCTGCTTCCTCTGCCAGCCACTGTGGAAATATCTGCAGCTGCCTTTACCTAAGTGTAACAGCAAAGTGATTAGATAGCTCAGACAATACATGACAGAGAACTTTGTAATTGCCAAAATGTTCAACATCCTGAATTTTTGTTTTTAAATGAGAACATTTAAGGAACCTTGAGGACAAAAACCCACCTCTAAAGTTTTAGGAATCTTTGATTTGAAGGGATGACTCAACGAAGAATAAAGATTAATTCTCCCTGACGTCCCATTCAGCTGTACAGATAGCTGGAAAAAAAAAATCACAAATTCTTTAGTAAAACTGCTGATTAAACAAGCAACAACTAAATACTGAGGTGGTTGTACTCACTTTGCACTGCTGTCGCTCAATTCTCAGTTTCCCTCCAGCCTGATAATTAAAGTCAGTGTTGCTTTTGGGGTCCCAGCATACATTTCCCTCCACTATAGCAGAGGAGGGGATCTGCAGCTGTAACAGCAATAACAGGGAACCGGTCATAACTTCAGCCTATCTACTGTAAACTGTTCTCTACACTGTTGGAGGTAAACATTCATCCCTCATTACACATGCTGAATGAAATCACCAATGCGTACATTTACTGGTATCAGCACTTTGCACAAAAACATGAAAAGACGAATGCATTTGGAAAAGGTTTGATCAATGAAATTATGTTTTATTCAGTGAGATGGTTGTTTACCTGGAGCTGATGGGTGTAGTTTCCTCTGACTTGAATCATATGGTGACAAGAGTGCAGAGAGTTCAGCCGAACTTGTCCAAAGAAAGTCAGTCTCTCCTTGCTGCCGACCCGTAACTTTCCTTGTACATCTTTATGGGTCTGAAAAGGAGACTGCAAATTTTAAAAATGTCCCTTGATTTAGATAAGCATAAACCTTCATGCACCATACTAAAGTGTATACTGTAGTGTCAATTCGAACTGCAGATACTAGCATTGGGAAACTAAAAAAGCCAAATCACCCATTACAAAAACATAAATGGACTATTCTTGGTACATGACAATAATTGTGCTTTAATCAGAGGCTGAAGAATTAAAAAATGTCTGCATTTAGCAGAAGCTAGTGTTAGGAGTTCATGCAGCGATGGGCATCATGTCATAAATTCTAAGCATAGGCAATTTTATTTCTTAAATCTGTAAATATAACTACATTTTACATAATTTCAATGTTCCATGCAAAAGTTTTTCATTAACGTCACAGAAACTTACAGTTTATAGGTTTCATGTTTTAAAGGCAGTCAGTGTACCTGATTGTTGGATACGGTAACACACATTTCTGAGTCTGAGGGAATAACGTCCGAGCTGAAGGGATGAACGAGTGCAGAACAAACCTAAACAAGAGGAGAGCCGTGGAAAAAAAACCTAGGTATGAAATACTCCCACACTCTCTTTTCCAAGTTTTATTCGCGGAGTTGTTAATTTTTTTGCTCTACACTCACAAAAGGGCTTGGTTTTCGGTAGCCGATGGTGAGGGTGTGGATGACCTCTCTGATGCTTAGAAAACCAGCTTTCGACTCCAGGATGTAGAGGCCTTTGAGAAGGTCGACAGTGAAAGTCTCCCGCAGGAGCAGAGTCTGAAGAAACGTCTGGAAGGGCTGTCTGTGCAATATGGTGGTGCTATTGAAGTTAGCAAACCTCTGCTGCCGTGAAAACCAGAAAGATATAATACAATAACAGATTGATTTAAGATGGAGGCACAGACCTGAGATAGAGCATTGCTGTTTTCTGGTACATCTTCTTGTCTTTCCTCAGCTCCTCTACGACTCCTTCAAACTCCAGCTCTGTGGGAGCACTTTTAGGCTGTGAGAAGGTCATCTTCAGAAGTGCTTGTCTCTTTTTCAAATTCTAAAATGTGTAAGTAGAGCAAAAAAATATTATTATAACATCACAAAATAAGACAAGCAACACAAAATTAAACCTAACCATCCATTGACCACTTTCACATGGCGGCCATTTTGCTGTGATGTCATGCTGTGAGAAGCTAAGGTCTAAGCTAGGTCTTAAGTCATAAAGAATTTGCCACGCATTATCAACTCAACCCTTCCAGATTGAATTTAACAGACAATGAACGGTGAAAACCTGGAAAGAAATGTGGTCATATTTTAAGATAAAACAACATAAAGGTTACCCATTAGCTGGGGTCAGATAAGAGCTAAAGTTAGCATCCAGCTACTTTCTGGGTTAAAACTGTTAGCTCATAGCTAATGTCACTGTGATGCAGTTTTGTATAATATGAGAAAGCTTTCCCCCATAATGTTAATTTTTACAGAAAGATGACATTACAGCTGCCCTAAAGCAAAGGCAAAACATCTAAAGAGCCCCCTTGTGACTGGCTGCAGTATGTCATAAAGCCCACCTGTTTTTATTCATACATGTTCCTATCAAAGATAGTTCTTAAAATGCTGATTTATGTTCAAGTGTTATTTTTTTCTGGGAAGTTTAGTTTTAATCAATTATTTGATTTTATGAAAAGTGGCATAACGCCATGATTGACAACTCTGTGGGGAAATGTGTCCTCTGCAGAGTTTTTATCAGATTAGCAGAGTAAAGGAGAAATGGTGAGAGGAAACCCAAATGAACACTGACACAAGAGTCGTTGAACTTTCTATAACTGCTTGTTTGTTTGGAACTGGAGAGAGAATCTGTTCTGTTGTGGACTGTACCGACCACAGGGATCTTTTCCTTTTTTATTGGAAAAACTTAAATGTGTGTTTTGGTTTGTGCAAGAGCTCGGACGTCAATATTTCAGCTCCAACAACTGAACTCCACTGCGCAGACTCTGGCAGGTAGCTTATGGTTTATCAAATAGTTTAATTTACTTTTAAAAGTACTTTAGTTTAATTTAAAAATTCCAAGATTTCCACCTGGATTTTCCCTATTTATTGTTAGTTCACTTGTTCATTTATTGAGAATTGGTCAAATAATAACAATAATATAATGTTTATAATGAACATTTTCAGGCACTATACGTTTATCGGACTTAAAATCTGGATGACAACAGTCCAACATTATGACAGCATTTGAACTCGTCCTCTGAGTGTAACATCAGAGGAAAATGGCGGCTGTGTGACAAAGGTGATTTTCACAGATACGGCACAGGGTTGCCTCCCACCTTATCTGCAGTGTTCAGGGCCGCTACAAGGCTCACGTTGTGCTTGCCGTAGGTGGAGGCAATCTGCAGGGTGTGGCTGAGTTTAGAGGCCTCCAGAGAGATGTCTCCTCTCAGGGGAGGAGTCCATAAAGAGCTGAAGGATCCGAAGGCCTTCACAGTCCGCTTCCCCACCAACCCCCACCCTCCTGCCTGGAGAGAGACAGATTAGGTAGAGGAGGAGAAGGCATGCACACGTTAACAAGTTCTTTATAAAGATATTTTGAGTCATACAAAAAGGAAAACATTACAGGTATTATAGAAATGACAAATTATCCTCTTCCCCTTTTAAAAACGTATTAATTAACAGAGGCCTTTCTTATTATATTGATGCACCATTTATTGATCAAATTGAATCTACTTACTAAGCAATAACCATATAAAAATAAATCAAACCTGTGACAAAAATACATTTTTGTTGCTCGGACACTGATAAAAAAAACTTTAAACTTTACAAAATACATTATGAAATAAAAATGTCTTGGTTGAAAAAAAAAGGTTGGCATGTAGCATGAGTGTCACAGCCAACTCTTATGTGGAAGAACAATTTTCCAAAGTGTCAAATGAGGTCTTCAATCCGTTGTTTAAATGGAAGTTGTTTATAAGGCAATAAAACCTTAATTTTGATGAAAATACAAGAAAGCTATAATGAGAATATTAAAAAAAAGCCTCTCAGTCTCTTCTCTCCTTACTCTGATGTAGGTGACAGCTGGTGTGTAGAGCTGCAGACGGGCCTCCTTCTCCCTGCCTCTGTCCCGGTAGAAAACCTCCAGCAGGAGGTTACGGACGGTCAGCCACTTGCTGGCTGTCAGTTCGGACGAGAGCTGGAGCGAGTGGCGCTGCAGCTGGCTCAGTTTGTGCGAGGTGTAGATGTAAAGCCACGGGGTGTCCATGTTTAATGTGCCTGGTCAATATTAAGAGAGGGACTGCAGGTGTGGACTTCACTTTAAATTTGGATGATTGATGCAAATTGAGGAAAAAGGCATTAACGCTAATTTTACCTTCCCATTTTTTCTGCACGGTGTCTTGTGGAGGACTTTTCCAGTGTAATCCAGCCACCAGCGGCATCAGGTTGTTGTAGTTGACTTTGAGGTGAGTGCTGCTCTCAGACCCAAGCTGTCTCAGGTGAGAGTGCAGAAGCTGTGTGCGGTAGTTTAAATTCTTCTCCGGCACTTGGAGACTAAACTGAAATTAAATGAGACAAAGAAAATGCTCAATGTAAATACAAAAATAGCCCCAGAAAAACAGATGATGACACCTGCAGGTCTGTTTACCTCCAATGTGTAGCTGGTGTGATTTGGTGTGGATTGATTTTTGAAGGACTGGCTCAGAAGAAGGGTGCGTTTGTTGTTGATCTCGTCCCAGTGTTTGCCATAGCTCATGTCCAGAGCTGATTTAATGTGGCTAGCGCTCTCCTCGTGCCTGAGGTGGATCTGTGGACACACCGAAAAGAGAAACCACAAGAGAAACCCTCTAATGATCAGTAGTCTGTTGCACCAAACGTGGAATAAATCAATCTCAAAAGTTAGAAATTAACTGCATAAGCATGCAAGGACGATGAATCTTGCTATCACCTATCACCTTGTGGTTGATGGGAGCTGTGTTGGAGCAGTAGAATTCATGATCTGCTCTCATGATGTACGTCAGATTAGCGTCCCTCTCACGCCTCAGTCTCTGAGATGTGTAGCAGTCCTGGCGCAGATGTCGGGCATCACCTGTACAAAGGGTCAAAGGTACTGAAACTGATTTCGGGAAATTAAAAACAAGCTACATATTCCTCTCTTTAGATGGACAGATTTGGCTAAATGGTGGCTCTATGTGATATAGCAAAAGGTGCACTCAACATAAACAATGTGGACTCATTTATTCATGAAACAACACTTTCTGGGGTTTCACACAAAAAAACACAAATTAAAAAAAAACAGCTTACAAGTGCATAGATGATTTTTTGAGAGAAGTTAGTGTGTTCCTCATTTGAGTTTTCACTTCCTATTGGTGCAAAGTGTCCATGCTGATCATAGCATTATTTATTTTTATTAATGGGATCTCCTTTCTTGGGTGAGATGTTGACTGACTGACCTGTCTTCCATCTCTTGTGTGAACCAATCAGTGCTACCAACTTCTCTTCTGAAACCATCTCTTTCCAAAAAGGACTAACATTTGAAACCATGAATTTGAAGCGAAACATTACTATTAGACCACGCCCACTTTACAGTCAGGAAGCGCGACCATTTCTTAACACTGGCATCGTTTTTATAGCAACATCTATCTCACAGGGGGATTTTGGGAATTTCCCTTTGTGAATATTTGCTTTTCCATTACTTACCTCCCAGACCGTATTTGAGCCTGAGCGCGGAGCTCCACAATGAGCCCTTCTGCTCCATCAGTCCCAGCATCCTGGTCCCGACCACACCGGGTAACAGGAGCTCCGCCTCCACAGAGTGCTGCATGCTGCTGCTGTCTCGCCTGCGCTCCACAGCCACTGATGATGACACAGCAACAATTTCATATCTAATATTAAAGAGTGCTTTGTTAGTATAAGAATAAATTAATGCTAATTAATGTCTTATGAATGAGGGGAAGATTATATAAGATTACTCTTCTTTCTGCTCCTTTTCATTCAAGATTTGAGATTTTATGTATGAATTTAATTGTATTGTTTGGTCGATGAATTAAATTTCAAATTTACAAATAAATCAATAAAGTGATTATTATTTAAGTGTGTCTGTTTGGATACCTGACAGTGAAGCCGTTTCTCTGAACACATTCTTCACATTTGCTGAGAAACTGGTCTTTCTCCCCTGTCCACGAGTGACATTAGCAGAGAGGATCATGGGATGTCCATCAGCGGCCATTTTTGCTTCAAAGTGATAGTGAGTTCTCTGCTCTGACACGAGGGTCTGAGTGTCGATCAAACCCTAAAGAAGACCAATTAATGAACATTTATGTGAATGAGAAATCATCTTTAAGAGAAACTGTCGCACAAAAAGATCTCAATACTTACCGTGATGTAATAATGGACACCATCAATCAACAGCTCCAGCTTTCCTGACTTTATTTTCTTCTCTTGCTCAAGATGACCTGAAAAACACAACACATTTCAGCACCTAACTCAGACAAATGTTGATTGCAGATTGTGTCACCAACCTTGTATGAGGATGGTTTTCAGAGGATGGTTGATCCGCAGCAGCAGTCGTCGAGGGTTAAAGGTCAGATCCAGGGACATGTCTCTGGGGATGGAGGACTGAGGTGTGGCCAGGAGGAGGCGGAGGGACGCCTCTCTGGGGAGCCCCTTGCCCCTCTGAAAGATATGTTTGAACAATTTTATGTTTAATGAGACATTTTCACTCACACCATGTAGATATCACAATGGGTAATAAGATCAGATAAAAAAATGATTCTTATTTTTTGGACCTGAAGAAGCATTGAGTAGGCAGCCTCCAGCAGGTAGTAATGGAGTCCTCTGTCCAGCTTCAGCAGCCTGAGGGAGAGGTGGACTGGTCCTGGAGGAGGAAGAAAAACACCTGTGGCAGGTAACGGGTAAGACGTATTGGAGCAAAGCTGCCAGCCGACCATCTTAGACCCTGTGAGCAGAGAGAGATCAGCGTTTGATTAAGAATTTAGAATGTGAACAATAAAGAGAGTCAGCATATCAATCAAACCATTTAACAGGATTTGAGGTGAATGTTTTCA